AATAACTGTAGAGTACTTGGTCTTAATGAGCATACCAAACCATTGAAGTCCTACGGAAACTGGTTCAAACATAAAAATTATTGATTTTGATATTTGCTTTTACAAAATACTTCGAGTTAACGCGTCGTTTTCAATAATGTGTAATAAATCCACTAGAATACTTTTAACCACTCACAAATTAATTTATTTTTTATTGATTAAGTCGATTATTTACACATATAGGGAAGTTCGTGTAACTTGCCTCAAGGCAAAATACCAATACCAACTAGTTTAAAATAACAAATATGGAAAGTTTCATTAACACCGCGGAAAAATCAACAATAACAATGAAGTGACCAGACAATTTTAGCAAAAACTAACTAGCACGATTTCCAACTGATTTTTTCAAATAGTTCTTGAATACCCGAAAGTTTAGAATTTTGGGCGACAACGACGAATAATTTTGAAACTATCTGAAAATTATAAGGCACACGTGTACACAACGAACACCCAAAAATTTACAAATTTCGGCGGTCAACGATTAAATTGAAACGCCATAAGCAAGCAATTAGCATGCATGAAATTGAATTGGCACATTTCGAGATTCAAAGTTCCTAATATATTATTACTGAACTTTTCATTAATACATCACTGAATTACTATTTTGAATAGAGAGAGATATATATACGATATAATATATATATTACGATATATAATATATATATATATATATATATATATATATATATATATAGATATAGAGAGAGAGAGAGAGAGAGAGATTGGTAACTCACTCCCAGCGGAGTTGTATCATAGGATTTGTCATATCCGACTTCCCTAAACTGGTGCAGATATTTGCTTGAGATTTTTTACTAATACAAAGATTTGGGTCGAAAGATGCGGTGTTTTTCTCGCCTCACAGCCAGTTTTAGGACTTTTTAGGTATATAATGTCTCAAAAATATGCTATTTTGTATTCTATATTCTGTATATAATAAGCTTGTCCGTAAATGACCTCTTTTCAATGGTATACACAACCCCAGCTATAAAATATTTACTATTATAACTTTTACAAAATTATGATTTCATGGTATTTTATTGTGTAAAAGTAATAGTATGCTAATATAATAGTAACCTAAATGTATAATTAATTCTCGGAGAGGAAAATAAAATAATGTGAGGTATTATTTTGTGAAAAATATTATACAACAGATTTGTTCTTATTTCATGCATAAGGTTCACTGCATTATTTACATATAAATATAAACATATTCAAAGAATTCTATATTTTCTCTTCAAAAATAATTATAAAAATGATTTTGATTCCCAGGTTACCCATCAATTTGATATTTGTATGCATAAAACAGTAATTATTCTAAAAAATGATCTAAAATGTTTGAACTATTTGTAAACGATTTCTAAAGTTTTAATAAATCCTTAGATATGTTAATAAAACATTATAGAACACATTTGTGTCAAGTTAAACGTTTCAAAGTTGTCAGAGTCGTGGGGTTGTTAAGTGGATATAACTACTCTATGAAGCGGAATCAAATCCTAACCGATCTGGCTTCGGATATGATAAGCCATATATATATATATATATATATATATATATATATATATATATATATAGATATACACGCATATACGATACTTCTATAACACGGATTCGCTCTAACACGGTTTAAATTTGACACTATCCTCCTTATAATACGGTACTTTTGAAGCATGGTTCGCTCTAACACACGGTTTCACAATTGAGCAAATCTCTCATAAAATAAAAAATATAGTAAAACCTATACAAATCAAACTTTATTTAATCTAAATTAGTAAAATCACAGTACAATAGCTCAATAAATGTGATGAAACTAGTGCAAAAATAGTTCTATAGAAATTTTAGGCTTATCTAAACAATTAGTCAATTAGACAAAGATCCTTTAAATAAAATGATCATAAATTTAAATAAAGATAACTTTGTATGTGGTAAATATATAAATATCTTCTTGCTTATATATAAATATCTAAGCCAATAATCACAAATATATTTTTTTGCAAAAAATAATGCACGGATCTAAGGTATAGAAAACTGATTGGATGATGGAGATATCTTGCGAAAAAAGGAGCGTGTTGGATAGCACTTACTTATTAATTATGACGAAAAAAAAACATATTCATGTAATGTACATTACTCCTTATAAAATCAATAAATATAACAATATTTATTATAAATCATGATTTGTAGCTTGTTTTTTTTGAATTCTTGGAACGTAACCCCTCTTTTTGTACTAGTTCTTTGTTCCGTATAACACGGATTCATAATTTGGAACTTAACTACCGCGTTATGCGGGGGTTACCTGTATATATTATGAGTGTGTTGATTAGACGAATAACATTAAGTAGAAAAAAACTAAAGCCAATTAGGAAATCAGCTTCATAACACTAATCGTACCGCCGCTTTTCGTATACCTATTTCTACATAATAATGGGTCAATTAACCCGACTTGCTTGGGTGCATGATATATGGAAGTTAGATTGGAAATTAATCTATTATATTTAATGAACATATTTTCTTTCATAAACGTAAATACGTTTTTTGATAATCACATTTTTACATATAAGTGAGTTCATTGCATATATTCTGCAAGCATATTTTTTGCATTTATACTATTTAGAGCAAATGTTGATGGATTTATTTTTTCTACCGTATTCAATTTAAAACCTCCTATGGAGACATATTACAAATTCATCAAATAGGCATATAACCTTATAAGACGACATTATATCAATTATACAATGCTACAATATTATAAATATGGATAGCTTGAAAAAACTCACCTAGAGTTAATGTCAATTGTCTTTGTTTTCTTTGTACTTAATTTTATATTTTGCCTATTCTTAATTCCTCCTGGTTTCAGTTCTAATGGCAAATGTTTCCAAACAAATGTACATTCTTGTGTTTTGTTTAGAATTTCCTAGAAGCAATGAAGTTATTCAACTGATTTCCGACAAATAAATTACATATACTCACAGCATATCGATTACCATAAGGCTGAACAATGGACTTCTCTACAGTTTTACTCTTAGGCATGATAGCATTCTCTTTGTAATATTCATTCAATTCTCTTTTTAACATCAATATATATTCTTCTAAGGGACTAATCTGTAATAGTCAAACAATTAATTTGACCAATGTATAACAAATTATTTAATACATGTCTTTTATAACATATTGACATAACCAAACAGATAGTTAATTTCATAAAAGAGTGCATTTGTCTTTAAAAGTAAAAATATGAAGCAACAGTAAGGTGATCTGGGTAAAGCAGGTTTTTAACCTACTATATCAGTTTTTTTTAAGAGCAACAATTGTCCCGAATTTAGAACTTTTGACCCGCGTTTTCGAAATGTATAGGCTCAAATTTAATCTTTGCAAACCAATCCTGGTAATAAAATTACAATTACGCATGAAATATCTGAAAATGATATATACAACGAATATGCTTATATGAAACAATGAATTTAATATTCATACAAACTTTTCAATTTATAATCAACCTTGAGAAAGATTTGAGAAACAATCTACATATTATTTGAATCTCTGTTTACATAACTTTAATATTAAATATATAGTTGATGTATAGTTAATAATAATAATAGTTAAATATATAGTTGATTGACATACTGTGACAGGAGGAGCTTTATTCATCAATGGTGGAAAAGTTAATGGAGGTCCAATAATGGCTTGGTTTAATTCTGCTCTTAAAGCAGGTCCACTTAAACCCATTGCGTTTAATTGATCAGATGTAAAACTCATGCTGCTACCAGGGCCACCCCTACCTCTACCTCTACCTCGGCCTGCCATAATTCTTCAAAATTTATAAAAATATATTATATAAGTAAAAAAATAAATATTTTCATTCGGTGCTAATTTGATTCAATGGTCTTTGAAGTATTTCTAGAAGGTTCAATTTCTTCTTCTAATTCTTTTTTGAAGTTGTCCTAAAAACAAAAAAAAACTATTCAATTCATACTAATATTTATTTAATATAAATACTGAGATATGTATGTGATTATATATTAATATGAATGATTATTTGGGTAATAGTAATATGAATATTGATATATTATATATAAATGATTATATACAGTATTTAAAATTTTAGAAGATAACTTTAAGTAAATTTATTTCTTAGAATAACTTATTTTATATATTTTCTATGGCTGACAATGAGTCATAACAATCACTGAATTTCAAAAATATAATTATATAATCGAAAAACACTTCTGTTTATAATGATTTTAGTTTATCTGATTTTAAAGAAAAATTGACAATCTTTAGTAAATCATTGGCTCGCAAACGCAAGATAACTAGCAACCCAGTTCCTTAATAATACTAAAGATACATTGTATATTTATTAAAGAAAATGTAATGCAAACAATCAATAATGAAAAGCTTTATGAGCCACGATCATCATAAAAAACCAAAAGCAATTAATGCAATGCTAAAGATCGAATTAACCAAAGCAACTGTGTACAAATTGGTATTATAATAATATAAAAAGGATTCACTGGCAAATAAAATAGACAAAAGTATCATAATAATCATATCTTAAATTAACTTGAGTTAGAAAATAATAGTACACATCAAGCAATTTTTACAAAAGAAGCAAATAAGTAGACATATATATATATATATATATATATATATATATATATATATATATATAATAAAGGCAATTTAATACAGTTCTAACAAAATAAAAGTCAAATTTTAATTAAAAAGACCTCTTAGTTAATCGAAGTCAAATTATAGCTCCAATGATCAGAATATTATATATGTTAAAGATTTATTATATATGATATAATATCTCAGATTCATGTATTTAGACTGTCAGTAACAAATATTAAAAGTAAAAAAAATTTATCCTCAAATGACTATCATAACAAACAATTAAAGTTATTAAGAGTTTCATATAGTAGTGTCTATTTATCGTTGCATATTTGTAGTTTATATTAAGTGTTGTGTATATATTTTAAAAGCTGTTTATGAATTTAAAATTTTCTCATCTGTTTTCTTTAGTTTTTATTTCTTAGTTTGCAATTTATAAAAATGCAATTATATTGCATAGTTGCCATGTGCATTGAGTAAATAAATAAATAATATGTATACTTACAATGTCGTAGATTATTTTGATAACCAAGGAACAGCTGGGGCAAGTGGCGATTTCCACACCTGATTGTAATTCTTCCTAAAGTAATTTTACTGTATGAAATATTAAGTAAATTCATTTTAGAGGAAATAAGTGAAAATCACATGCCGCTAAAATACCTTAGTAACTTGAAAACTATCTCCACAAGGACATGGGTAATAGTAAGTATTGTCTTCTTCGTCGAATTCGAAATCTTCAATTTCTATTTCATCGTGATATACAGGCATATTTTATTAATTTATTTATTCCAGATTCACATGAGCACATTTGTATAAAGTGAGGTTAATTTAATGCGGATTGACGAAGATGTCAAAGCTAGCTGTCACTTGGCTGTCAACGTCATACGCGCATGCTTGCACACGGCATCGTTTTCCGCATCCGACAGTATTGGCGGTAAATTTGTATTTGCCAGGCAACACAGGTCAACTATTATATTACATGAATATTTTTTAATTAGACACATTGCCTAGACAATATTAGAATATGATGAATTCATACCTTGTTTATCTATGAAAACTACTAGTGGTGATGGCATCGCGCCTTAAAGCACATTTCTACAATTTTATTTCTCCAATAAATACATATAATACAGTTCTTCATGTTCTTTATTATCAAATTGTGGAATAAAATTTATCTTAAATATTTCTGCAAAACCTTCACTTAATGTTGGTTCAACAAAATTTTTTCTATAAGAAAAAAGTATCATATCTTTAATTTCCTCATGTGTTTTATCCGTTAGTTCTCTGAATATATTATTATGTCTGCAATGATCACACCGCAACGAACTTTTACTTTTCCAGCCCCAACAATGTAGCGGTTGCGAGATTCTTTATCTGCATTTGTATTATCCACAACCACACTTTTGCCATTCTGCAAAGCATTGTTCATTGCTGCAACACATTTTTGCCAACTACCCAATGTATCACGATTTACATGAACATATCCAGGTTATACAAGTTCTTTGCTGATGAAAGATTTTCCGGACCCTGGACAACCCACTAAAACAATAACCTCTTGTTCACTTTGAATTAGTTTTGCATTAGGTGGGTCAAATCTAGAAATATTCAAATTTTTTAAGGAAGGAGGATCAAATCCTGGTTTATTCCACTGTACTACTTTTGCTTTTTCAAAGTGTTCTTGAGGTGTGTAAAATGAAATTCCCAGATTTTTTGCCATTAATCTATCTGCAGCAGAAAAGTCTTTCTTTTTGCCAAGTGCCCATATATCTGGTCTACCAGCTGCATCACCACAATAAAAACAATCTGCTTTGGATACAGAAACTCCACAACTTTTCTGTTCTGTCAGCTTTTTCCACATACCAGTAAGTGGTTTTCTATAAATTTCTTTTGTGGTTGAAATAAAAACTTGCATTGGAATATTTAACTTATTTAAAATTGCTTCAACCTTGCCCTTAAATTCTTTGGGGTCAGTTTTTCCTTTACCAATGCCTGCTTGGTTAGTAAATATAACAAGCTTGTATCCTTGTGTTTCCAATTCCTTCAAATGTTTTGGTATTTGTTTAAAGGCTATTTGCCAGTCATCTTTATTCTTTGCAAAAACTAGACCAGATTTTGTTTTAATAAGCGTACCATTGCAGGAACTTTCCGTACCTTAATGAAGTAGTCGAAAATTTTTACATGTTTTCCAATAAGTCATTATATATGTTATTTAAATATTGCAACTTTCATTATTCGTATTTTATAGACTAGAAAATATAGAGTTTATACATTATACATTTTATGACAACGTATATTATAAATATGTTTACAAGAAGAGCAAAAAAAAAATAATAATAAGCGGAGTTCGATCTAAAGAATCTTATTTTATTTTTCTAACATAAGAATTATGTATACTGAAACGCAAAGTTAAAATTATTTATATAGTGAGTTATAATTGAAATACTATATTTGATTTTTTTTTTTTTTTTTAAATTTCTAAATTATTTTTTTTTGTTTTTCCAAAAAACTAATAGTTTCTTCAAACAAACAAAATGTTTTTGTTTCATTCGAGTCAGATGCTGCGCTTTCTCAAAAACTGAAATTTTAGCCCTTTTTCTCCGTATCTCCGAAACGGCTGAATCTGTGTTTTCAAGCACTAACCAGCGCACCACCTCGTCAATATGAATCAAATGTTTTTTGAATAATTTAAATCGGTTGATCCGTTCTCTTGAAAACTTACATTTTTAGCACTTTTTGCTCCATAACTCCCAAGCCGCTGGACCCGCCTTCCTCAAAAACTAATCAGCACATTTCCTCATCAAGACATCGAATATTCACGGATCAAATTGGTTGATCCGTGCGCCCAAAATCGTGGACAAATTTTTTTATCCAATTATTTTTTTCTATGTATGCCAAAATGTTCAGAAGGTCCTAAAACGTAAAGATACATCAAAATTTTCATTTTGGAGTTTTTGCGATTACTATAACTTACCCTACGGGAAGTTAAAAACTAAATTTTTATTTCAATTTTCACAAATAATGTTGTAATATATATGAACTAGCTGGTGACTTAATGAATAAAAGATTAAAAAAAATCACCAAGATTCCAACATGGTATGAAACTAATTTTGATTGGGGTATTTGCACGTTTTTCATTGCCTTGGAAGCAATCTGGAAATACTGTCCAGATAACAGATATTGGATTCGCACATCAGACTGAGGTCATTTTATTTATTGCAATAAATTTTCCTCAAAATGGAGTATGCTCGGGTAAAAATTCTACATTTTGATGTGGTTCGTTAGCATGGTTTTAAATTGTTTAGGATTTTTAAAATTGTTTTTGAGTTGAAGTCGTTTTACAAACCAAGTTTTGGCTAATTGATTTTTGCAGTGTGGACAGTTAATTTGGTAGAACAAATTTCATTCAAGACATTCGATATAGGAATCTTTGTTTTAGTATAAAATAGTGTTAGTTGTTGTGCTACAATTTTAAACTAGTCGGAGTCCTGATTTATAAAAAACAAAATAACCTGGAATGCCTTAACGCATTTCTTTCGCTATGATATGCCAAAATGTTTAGGTCTTGAAACGTAAAAATATGCAAAAACTTTCATTGAGATCATATATTATAAATATAACTTACTCTACGGGAAGTTGAAAAGTACATTTATGTGAATAAACAAAGTTAATAAATGTCGGCGAGTAAATATGTTATATCATATAGCTCATAAGCATAATGACAAATTTTAAATCGTTAATTCCATTACGATATACTATAATGTTCTATTCCAAATGTAGGTTTATTTCAAAATAAAAATTCGAGTAATAAAGATTAGTTATTTTACAAAAACAAATATAACTACAAAACATAGAACGTTTCTGCCACTGCTGAAGCGATAAATCGTATTTTATAAATTAATAATGCTTAATGCAAAAAAAAATGTTAGATATTATATTGTGATACGTTTTTGTGCAATTGTTATCACGTGTTTGGCACGTGCACAGAGGCGTAACATAAAGTTCACCCCTTAAATTTTTTATAGGCGATATACACTACATCCTAATAATGCTTTAACGATTCTACCATATACCAATTATCTCTATGCAATTTTTGAACAAGATCGTATCTGAAATCCTGCAATATACCCTTGGAAATATGCCATTAAAATATACTTACAATTAGAAACCGTTGTCGAAATGATGAGGTTGTTCTTATGACAACATTAATTGTGAAAAAAATCTGTTCACACATACATACATACACACACATACTTTTTCCAAATTTGGTCTCATTCGATTCAGAATGGCTGGAAACGCCGAGAAAACAAAATTAGCGAGTCGGATTTTTTTGATGAAAACATAAACTTCTCCTTCGGGAAGTTAAAAATTTTAAGTAATTATCATTTCGAGGTATATCGTGGGATCCAAATGTAAAACTAGTTGGTATTTTGCCTTGAGGCAAGTTACATGAACTTCCCGAAATGTGTAAATGATCGACTTAATCAATAAAAAATAAATTGATTTATGAGTGATTATAAGTATTCCGAGTGGATTTATTACACATCATTGGAAACGAACGAACGAACACGTTAACTCGGAGTATTTTTCACTTTTCTGCGATTTATGAAGAAACCGATCGTCGCACAACTGACAAACAATAGTCCTCATCGAGATACATCGAATGGCTTTTAAATTTTTGAAATCGGTCCAGCCGTTTTCGAGAAAACGTCGATCTACGGCAAAAAATCTGTTCACATACACGCACACACGCACACATACTTTTTCCAAATTTGGTCTCATTCGCTTCAGAATGGCTTGAAACGTCGAAAAAACATAAAATTAGCGATTCGGATTTTTTGATGAAAACAAACTTCTCTTTTATGTTTTCTCGACGTCTCAAGCCGTTCTGAATCGAATGAGAACAAATTTGGAAAAAGTATATGTGTGTGTATGTATGGATTTGTGTGTCAGCCGATTTTTGACCTTTCGTCTACGTTTTCTCAAAAACGGCTTAACCGATTTCAAAAATTTCGATGTAAGCCATTTGATGTAACTCGATAAGTATTAGCATTTCTCAAAATTCTGAATTGATATTAAAACTTCAAAAACTATTCGAAAGATGTTATATAGTAACTATGCGATGAAACTTTTTTGTTCACAGTTATCATAGTCCTAAAATAACATACTAAAATATTACGGCCCTGCGACAATAGTTTAATTTTAAAAATTCATCAAAGTATGAAAAAATATATGAATTTGTGTAAAAAGTATTTTTGTGATGTGATAAGTCAAAATTTGAATTGCACAAATTTGAAAACTATTGGAATGAATTCGATTAGGATGAGACGCGATTAGGTTTGCAAAAAAATCGACCAAGCCATAATTTGGAAAAATAAGGTAGAATTTTAGGATATACGAGCACGTGTTTCGCACTATAATTACTATAATTAAATTATAATAAATGTGTTAGAGAAATATCAAATGGAAATGATAATGTTTAAATTTAATAATTTATCTATACATGTTAATCTAAATTTTGGTCGATTGAGTCAATTATTAAACATTTCGAGAAGTTCATGCAACTTTGTCTTTTGTCTAAAATGCCACTTCCAACTAGTTTTAATATACGTTTTATCTGTTTGGCACTATTGCTCATTGAGATTGAGATATTGTTAAATTGAAGTTAGGTTATAAAACTATTGTGATGTTTTAATCAAATTGTAAGATGGGATTCACAAATATCGACTTTATACCCGATATCATACACGTAGGGTATAGCGGGGCTAGTTGAGCAAATTTTTACTCAAACGGATATAGCTCCTCGATGAAAAGTCTCAATAAATTGCTATACGGC